TGGTCTCCTGAGGTATCTCCTCCCAGACATGGACTAAAGCATCTGCCAACTCCTGGACAGTCTGTGGTGCAACGTGACGTTGGTGGATGGAGCAAGACATGATGTCCCAGATGTGCTCAATTGGATTCATTTCTGGGGACTGGGCGGGCCAGTCCATAGCATCAATGCCTTCGTCTTGCAGGAACTGCTGACACACTCCAGTCACATGAGGTCTAGCATTGTCTTGCATTAGGAGGAACCCAGGACCATCTGCACCAGCATATGGTCTCACAAGGGGTCTGAGGATCTCATCTCGGTACCTAATGGCAGTCAGGCTACGGCTGGCGAGCACATGGAGGGCTGTGCAGAGGTACATCATTTCAACCTTTTTTTTCTTTTTTTTATATACTTTCTTTCATTAGTTCATCTTCACATTGTTTCCTTCTTTTCTCAAATGTCAATATTATTGTGGAATTATTTATTTCAAGGGTCAAGATTAAGCAACTCATTTTTTTTTTTTTTTTAAAGTGAAAATCATTCCTGGGGTGTATTGATTAGCTATGCACAACAAAAGCAAAAACTAATTATACACTTTCAGGCTTATTCACTAGAGTGAGAATTCAACGTAAATTTCAAGTTTAAGCTGGAAAAAAACAGTCAGCTATCCTTTTAGTTTGGCTACTCTGGACATTAAATATCAAGTACCTAATAAGTGGTTCATTTGCTCTATTATACCTATGACATATGCCCTTACACAATCTTAAAACATAACTACTTAACCCATTGACACACTCTTATGTTAGTCTCTCCTTAAGTGAAAAAAAATAGATATCTCAACCAATTGTCTATACTGTTATACTGTGGCCTGCATAATAAATACTCAGCTGAAATTATATTACCATTTTTTTTACTTTTTAATTGAATTATTGCGCTAAACGTTAAAGGTCTTGTCATTTGTCAAACAAACAAATTATGAAAAAGTATATAACTGAACGATCACTTTTATGACAGTTTTTATTTACCCTTCTTTGAGTAAAAGTATATTAGAAGCTGTAGTAACACATTAGCAGTTGCTACAGAGGTGGTAAATTCTGGGTTAATTTTCCAATCCATTTGGCTAAGTATTTTTCACATTTTAGCTTTTGCTAGTCTAAATTCATCCTTTTTACATGCCTTTTAATTTGTTTTGGTTTACAGATTATATCCAATTTGATCAGATTATGGTCACTTGACCCCTGGGGCTTCACTTTAATTTGCTTCCACATTATAAAATGTTGGTTAACCAGATGTAGACATGAAATATTCCTGGCAGGGCTCCTTACACATTAGTTAAAGGGACCATCAACTGCTATATCCATCAGTCCAATCATATCTTAATGATTTCTCAATGCAAGAAAACTAAAACAAATATATACATAGCAAACACACATCTCCTATGAAATAGCTTTTTTAAATACATTAAAACTGTAGAAATATAGTGAGATTTCTCTTTATGTTGCATTACGTCAAATTTATTGAGAATGCATGTAAATATGTGTATTGTGTAAATAATATTAAATCCAATATAACTGAAATCTGTTCACTTCCATGCTCAGCCATTACCATCCCTGCTATGTCCACAACATAATCTTACCCATTAATAAATTGTTTTGTAATATCATCTTAATACATTTCATTGTTCATATGTCTGGACAATTAAATCTATTTTAATACTAGAATGTATTACTTTAACTTTGTTCTTCCGTGCCTCTCCGTCCTCACTAAATTCATCAAATAGAAAATGTTGAAACAAAAGGTATTATGCCAGTAGAAAAAAAGGTTAATAAAATAATTGCATTTTAATTTAATAAAAATAAAGAATGAATGGACTTTTTGGTAAATGTCAAAACTTAAAGGGACACTCCAGGCACCCAGACCACTTCTGCCCATTAGAGTGGTCTGGGTGCCAACTCCCACTACCCTTAACCCTGCAAGTATAATTATTACAGTTTTTTATAAACCAGACAGCCACTAGAGGGCACTTCCTGCTCTATAGCACAGAAAACCTGTGCTAGAGCGTCTCTGGAAGTCCTCACGCTGTGTGAGGACCTCCAGCGTCGCTCAATTCCCCATAGGAAAGCATTGAAAAGCTTTCAATGCTTTCCTATGGGAAGATCTAATGCGCATGCGCAGCATTGCCGCGCATGCGCATTAGGTCTCCCCGGCCGGTGGGCGGGATCAGTCTCACCCACCGGCCGACGTAATGACTGGGAGGAGCGGCGCGAGAAGAAGCCACCGCCGAGGGACATCGGTGGGGTCTCAGGTAAGTGACCTGAAGGGGTTTTCACCCCTTCATCTACAGGGGATTGGAGGTTGGAGGCAGAGGGGACCTGCAGTGCAAGGAAAACGGATTGTTTTCTTGGCACTGGAGTTTCCCTTTACTTACAAACTTGACATATTAGACTGATTCTCAGACTTGTATAGGTCTATGAATAATTTTGCCTCTGATAGTTCAATTCATCAACTCTCTAAGGATTCTATTTATACATTTTAAGAAACACTCCAAGTACCATAACAAGTACAGTGCACTGTAGATGTTATGGGGCTAGGACAGCCCTAACACACCCCCATTGTAATTAGTGAAACATTTTGACGTTTCACCTGGGGTACACCATGCCCAATCACATCCTCTGTGGAGAGCTGGAAGCTCCTATATGGAGCTTCTTTTAGTTTTCCTGAGTTAAGCCATGTCATGCAGGGTCAGCTCCTTGTCTGAGAGCAGGGCTAGCTCATTGTCTAAGAGCAGGACTTGCTGATTGTCTGAGGTCTATGCTGCTAATCTTGGCTCAGAACATAGCTCCAGGCTCAACAGTTTAACTACTTACAATGGGAAGAGCAGCAGAGCACTCCTGGCACAATAACGACTAAAGAGCACTGTAGAGGATATGGTGCATGGAGTGTTCTTCTAAACTAAATCTGCTTCCTCACTATTCTAGACTGTCTAGACTGCCTCTTTAGAAGCCTACATTTCTGTACTAGCCAGCAAACATTTAAAACCTAATAATTCCCCTGTTAGTGTCTAATTGCTGAGGTTTTTACACCTCACTTGGTTTCTCGCTTTAACTCTATGTTTACAACAGCAGGCATTTTAATCTAAATACAGCCTTTTCAGAGAAAAGGCAGTGTTTACATTGCTGCCTAGGGACAACTCCAGTGGCAGTCACTCAGACAGGCACTAGTGGTGCTTCCTGGGTCAGTGCTGCTCAAGAGAGGCAATGCATCTCAATGAGGAGTTGCTGATAGTCTCTGAATGCTTTTATATGATCTCCTTGATGACATTAACCAAGAAGGCAGAGCATGAACGGAGCCAGCTGTGACAGACTATGCTGGAAAAAGATGAGTAAACTCACGGAGGTAAGGGGGACAGCCACCTAAACGGCTATTTTATTCCTGACACTATAGTGTTCCTTTAAGCTAGGCATTGTTATGCCTAGATTCTGGCATCTAGTCTATAATCTATTATTGCCTATTACTTTTTCCTTTAGATCAAACAGGCTTCATAGCAAGGAGATAACATTTGGGCAGTTCTGTTTGAAAGTTCTATTTAACTTTCTATTTCTGTTTCATTTAGAACATCCTTCCCTGACTTTGAGTTCCTCAGGAAGCCAAACAAGCTGGTGACAGCCTGCATTATGATATTCATTAAACAGTCCTCCAATATTAGAAGGGTTATTCAATAAAGTGAGAATTCAGTGAATTTGAATTCATGTGAATTCAAAGTAAATTTCACTTTTTTCATAATTTAAGTTTATTGTTTTATATTCAAATAATACATCAACAATGCCGCAGCATCAAGTATACATGGTCATGCATTACAGTTACAAGTATGAGGGTAAACATCTTGCCATGCCTTGTCTCACATTCTATTTTAGCTTGCAATAAAGTACAGGCATACACGTACATGTCAGCATAGTGGTCGTTAGCAGTAAAGGTTGGGGTAGGAGATGAACTCGCCCCCAGCTGTGTAGGCAGGTCATGAGACTCTTGTTATACTCTATGCAAAGGAAAGTGTAACAACTTGAGGGGCATGAGTCAAATAGCATTAACATTGCTACGGCATATAAACTAATGGTCAAACAGATCAAATTAAACAAAAATAAACATTAACATTCAGTGATCTAATGCTGATTATACTGGTGCTATCTTATAAGAGATAGTGCAGTTGTGAGGAATAATGAGGTTTTAAAACCAAGTTGTGGGAACGGGTATTGTCAGACAGTGTGTCCAGAGACTCGGGTTATGACTTGTCAATTCTAGCCCCTGCAGGCCCCTTTGCTCCCTATCGTGCCCCAATATTATGATATATGTATAGAGATTTTTATTTACATTTTTTTTTTGACCTACAGAATTTAGCTAAAATGAGGCTCACCCGCCCTGGGAGGTGACGGATAAAAGGCCTCCCATGGTTCCCAGATCTTCGTTGTTTTTTATTTTGCGTTCGGTGAGAGGATAGCCATACACTAGTATGCGTAGTTAAGGTTTATTTTGTCTATCAGTATTATTTCCTTGTGACATAGGTTAGATTTACAATTTAAAGCAATAAGAGCTCTAGCCGCAAGGGCAATGTGTGATACCAAGGTCCTCTCATGGAACGTAACGTGCTGGCAGTTTTGCCACTGTGGCCCATAGTGGTTTAATTAACCTGCAGTCCCACCAAACATAGAACATGGTGCCTCTGTCCAAGCCACATCACCAGCATACCTCTGATGCTGTTTTATATATGTGGCTTAGTTTGTCATCTGTAAGGTAGCAGCTGGAGAGGGGTTTGGGTTTCAGCTGTATTGACCAACACTAGGCCAGCAAATGTTGTGTGTCTCTTTCGACATGGGTAGTGTCGTCCGTCTTGTAATCTACATATTCTAGTAATTCACCTTTAAGTTGCAAATATAAAAATGTAAATTTTTATGGCAATTGGAATGTTTTCTGCAGAAATGTGAATGTGATTAACTCTCCCCCCCCCCGATATTAGTTGTGATAAACTCTTAATTCCCTGATTCTCCCAGTGTCTTATAGACAGCCATGGGGAGATAGCTCTCAGACCATCTAATGGCGCCAGCCGATGAAATTTTGAAGGTGAGTACCTCATGTTGTGAAATGCGTTCCAGGCGGCGATTGTTGGGGGTGGACTTCTGCCTCAGGGGTGGAGGTGTCCACATGTGCGATAGCAGTGAATCTCCTGACAGTTGCTGCCACTCGATATCTACCCATCTCAATAGTCCACAGGATGCGTGGAGGTTAATGGCCTGAGAAAAAAGAATCACTATACTGTAAGCCCATACCTGAGGGACACCCATGCCACCCTTTAGGAAAGGCCTCTGCAACACCTCCCTCACTTCTCTAACCCTTACTTTATACCAGATCAAATCTGTGAAAAGCTTTTGTGCCTTATCGCAGTAGCTCTTAAGTACCTGGATAGGAAGCATCCGGAAGGTATATAACAATTTAGGTAGAGACATCATCTTAAGGGCATTTATGCAACCTGACCAAGATATTTTTACCTCCCTGCATTTATCCAGTTCTTGTCTTAGTGTTGTCAGCATTTGTAAATGGTTGTATTTAAGTAGCGTTGCCATAGATTTCGTTATTCGGACTCCAAGATAAACCACATAGTCTTCCTTCCAATCAAACTGGAAGAGTTTGGAAAGGGTCGTTTGTTTGTTGCGGGGTATGTTAATAGGCAGTTCCTGTGTTTTATTGGTATTAAGTTTGTAGTAAGAGACTGAACCGAAGGCGGTCAACAGTTCAATTAGTTTTGGAAGGGATGTTTCGGGGCAGGAGATCGTTAAAATGAGATCATCTGCGAATAATGATAGTTTGTGGGTCTGTTCTCTTATCGATATGTCTTGGATATCTGGAAAGTCATGAATGAGCTGAGCCAAAGGTTCCAAACACAAAATAAACAAAAGGGGAGACTGGGGGCACCCCTGCCTGGTCCCATTTGTTATAGCAAATGGAGGGGATATAAAACCAGCATTGAAAACGCTAGCTGTTGGGTATTTAATGCCATTATTGCTGTTATGAATGATGAAGGGAGTCTTCCCATCACCTCTGTCATGTACAACCAATTAAGCCTGTCGAAGGCCTTCTCCGCGTCCAGCACTAAGAGAAGGCCCTCGCTCAATTCCTTGTGGATATGGTGGATCACATTCAAGAGATGCCTGGAATTATCTGACCCCTATCTACCTTTGATAAAGCCTAACTGATTGTAGTGGATAAATTTCGGAAGGAGCGAGCCAAGTCTGTCTGCTATGACTTTGGCGTACAGCTTTGTATCTGTGGAGCGAGTATGGCATATAGATTAAAAAAAAAAAATTGTTATACTTCTCTCTCTTCTTGCTTTGTCACTGTAAAGATAGAGAGGTACAGAATAGTGCAGATACCTTAATACATAATATGTAAATTCAATATGACTAAAACACACTCACAAAGATAGAGCCATAGGGTGATCCAAACCCTCTTTGTTGATGCTCTGGAACAGTGGAAATATTCCTTCTCAAAGATAGGCAGCTAAGATGAAATAACTTGCCTAAAATTTAATTTATTGTTACATACACTGGATAAAACACTTCATAAAGTATCAGTTTAAAAAGTCTACTATTGTCCAATTGAGAGAGAAGTATAACAAAGAAAATTATTTTCCACTGTTCCAGAGCATCAACAAAATATTTCCACTGTTCCAGAACATCAACAAAGAGGGTTTGGATCACCCTAAAGAGATCCTAAGGAAATCCACACCAGAGCCAGGTTCAGTATATGGCTCTATCTTTGTGAGTGTGTTTTAGTTATATTGAATTTACATATTATGTATTAAGGTATCTGCACTATTCTGTACCTCTCTATCTTTACAGTGACAAAGCAAGAAGAGAGAGAAGTATAACAATTTTTTTTTTTTTAAATCTATATGCCATACTTGCTCCACCTATTGTTTGTGTGTTATATATGATTTAAAGGTGTAGGTGTAGGGGATACCTCAAAGGTTTTAGAGCTTGTATCACTTAGTAGACCTACCGCTTTGTGTTTTACAGCTTTGTATCTGTATTTAGAAGGGAAATGGGTCTAAAATTTTAACAGATGGTTGTTTTTTTGCCCGGTTTTGGTAAAGTGACTATATAGGATAGATTCATCTCTTTAGGGAAGAATCCCCCTTTGAAAGCTGTTGGGAGTCTAATTGATTTTGGAAAGTTTTATAATAAGCAGCTGGCAGGCTGGCAGGCCCTGGGCTCTTGGCTATGGGAAGGGCTTTGATATGTTTCTGAATTTCCTCAAGTCTGATAGGTTTTATGAGCTCCTGTATTTCTGAGTCCTGCAACCTGGGCAGATGAGTCAAATCTAGGAAGGTGTCTATCTGTTGTTGCATTGGGACATGTGTGGAAGGGTAATCTTTTAGGTTATACAGCGAGCTATAGTATTAGGCGAATTCTAGGACAATTTTGTCTGGGTTAATAATTTTGTCGTCTTGTGTCGTATGTATAAACGCAATCTTTGTGGGGTTTTTTCAATTGAGAGGCTAGGAGAGCTCCCGTCCTGTTGATAGATACAAAGTAGAGCTGTTTAAATCTGCGTAGTAGAATTTTTTTTTTGACTAATTCTGATAGTTGGCGTTGTAGTTCTCTTATCTCTAGTGCTTGCTGAGGTGAACTGGTTGATTTATTTAAGTAGGATAGTTCTGCCAACCTTTTAGTAAGGTCTAAGTATGCTTTAAGTCTCTGTGCTTTAGCATAGCTAGCATGCTTAAGTAATATACCTCTTATGTAAGCCTTGTGCACTAACCATAGCGAATCTGGCTTAGTGCTTGGCAACTTACTAGTTACCAAGTACAAGTACAAGTTTAGTTCTTTACGGATGTCTGTAGGTATTTGTGGGTTTGTGAGAAGATGCCCATTCATGCGCCAAGAGCCTCTGCCTTTATTGGGAAACTGTTCTCCCAGTTGAATCGTTGCCAGTGCATGGTCCGACCACGAGATGAGACCCTGTCTCATGTACCTTTGTCACCATAGAGCTATGTATAAGAAATCGGTCTATCCGGGAGTAAGAATTGTGAGCGAGAGAATGGAAAATATAGTCCCTCTCTAAAGGGAGGTGTCACCCTCCACAGATCTATGTATTCATGAGTCAAAAGGATTTAATTTGTCGTAGTATGAGCCACCTCCCCCGAGGATGTAATATTCATTTGATCTTCTAGGATAAATTAGAGTAACCTCCCATGATCACCTCCCCCAATCTCCATTTATCTATTTTTTAAATAAGTTTTCTAAGAAGGCTGACTGGTCAGTATGTGGACCATATATAGAAACTTGTGTGTACTGTGCATTATTAATATTGCATTGTATTATCCAGTACCTTCCATTCTTATCGGCGTGTTTTGCCACCAAGGTAAAGGCTTTATCTTTGCTTATAAGGATTGAGACTCTGCTTTTCTTTTTTGAATAACAAGGAAGGGAAAGATGAGAGGAAAGATGAGTAAGTAGATAGAACGTAGAGAGTTGATACTACACCCAATCTGCGGCCAGTGTGCAGCCTAATAGCATGCGCAAGGATGTTGTCCAAGAGCTCTGAATTGGTGGCTCACTTGGCTGCCGCAACTCTCTGCCAGTCCCCTGCAATGCGGGTTGAGGCTGACTCCGGGCCCTTGAAGGGAGGAGCATCTGCTTGTAGCGGAATTTTCCATTGCGATAGCAATTTGTAACCCTTTTCAGGCTATGAGTCGACTTTGTCGGATTCATTCCTGTGGATAATATGTCGGGTGGGAAATCCCCATTGATAATGGATCTGCAACTCTCTTAGTGCCTTGGTGATGGTACCGAAGGACTGTCTCTTGGCTAAAGTGGCTAGGGACAGGTCCGCAAATAGCTGTATGCCAGCGTACCAGCGCTCTTTAGTAGCAAAAAGTGGACACGGACAATAGCCTCTCTTGGTACTGCAGCAGGAGTTTAATCAAGGCATTAGTAATGCTTCACTTTACACCATTAGCAGGTGTGGCCCAGGTGGGCTTTTAGTCAAAATCCTTTTGTATCACATATAGATTTTGACAAGGGTGCCCACTCTCAAATTTTATCTATTTAGACAATGGAACCACTTTCCATATGCAGTAGAAATTTAAGTACTTACTGTTGAGCAGATATGGCTAAACTCAGTACATAGAGCACACTAACGTGTTACAGTACTAATTAGGAAAGAACAGCACAAAAAAAAAGCAGTAAGTGACTGTCAAAATTATATAGATGAAATGGGGTGATATAAATACACTGAACAAAATTATAAACACAACACTTTTTGCCCCCATTTTTCATGAGCTGAACTCAAAGATCTAAGACTTTTTCTATGTACACAAAAGGCCTATTTCTCTCAAATATTGTTCACAAATCTGTCTAAATCTGTGTTAGTGAGCACTTCTTCTTTGCAGAGATAATCCATCCACCTCACAGGTGTGGCAAATCAAGATGCTGAGTAGACAGCATGATTATTGCACAGGTGTGCCTTAGGCTGGCCACAATAAAAGGTGTGATAGAATTTACTTTGATTTCAAGGTTCAAACTTATAGGTGCCATGTTGATATCAGCAAACCGCTCACCCACACAACGCCATACACACTGTCTGCCATCTGCCCTGTACAGTGTAAACCGGGATTCATCCATGAAGAGAACACTTCTCCAAAGTGCCGGATGCCATAGAATGTGAGCATTTGCCCACTCAAGTCGGTTATGACGACGAACTGCAGTCAGTTCGAGATCCTGATGTGGACGACGAGCATGCAGATGAGCTTCCCTGAGACAGTTTCTGACAGTTTGTGGAGAAATTCATCTGTTATGCAAACCAATTGTTGGAGCAGCTGTCCAGGTGGCTGGTCTCAGACGATCTTGGAGGTGAAGATGCTGGATGTGGAGGTCCTGGGCTGTTGTGGTTACACATGGTCTGCGGTTGTGAGGCCGGTTGGATGTACTACCAAATTCTCTGAAGCGCCTTTGGAGACAGCTTATGGTAGAGAAATGAACATTCAATTCACGGGCAACAGCTCTGGTGGACATTTCTGCAGTCAGCATGCCAAACACACTAAATTTTCAGTGAATACTATTCTACCAACCTGCTTCCCTACTCCTACCATTATCTTTTGTGTCACTTTATCCCACTCCCTCTAGCATGTAAGCTAATTGAGCAGGGCCTTCAACCCCTCTGTTCCTGTGCGTCCAACTTGTCTGGTTGCAATTACATGTCTGCTAGTCCACCCATTGTACAGTGCTGCGGAATTTGTTGACGCTATAAACATAATAATAATAATTTAGCCGACTCTCAACTGACCCACCAAATCTCCAGCTGGAAATGATCCTGGTGTGCATTCCAGGGGAAGCCCACTCACTCCACTGCCAAGAACCTTACGTGTTTCATGAAGGAAATCATCACTTTAACAGAGTCTGATGGTACAGAAAAGCTATATAGATATGATATAATGTAAATTCTAAAATAAACTAAATTTTTACTTAGTGTTCTCAATATTTTGCAGGTTAATGCATATATTTTTAATACACACACATGGATTCACACACACACATTAACTACATACCATCTATTGACCATGGCTGTGGTGATAGACAGACATAAATATATAAATAGACCAGAGGTTTCTGCTTGCTTCCCTTTATTGTAGAAAAAGTCAAGAGGTTTCTATGTCTCATATTGCTAGATGTCTAAATATGACAGTACATTCATAGAAACAGTTGTCTTTAGTCAGGGTGAGATATAATAGTGTTTATCCCTGCGATGTAAAATGAGAGTGATACAGTATATCTGAGATTTCTGTCTATAGCTTGGGGTCAATGTGACATTTCATCACTATTCATGTTGACAGCCACTTGGTTATTGTAAAGAAGAGATGACTAGACATGTTTGCAACTCTCTGTCATATGGCAGTCTGGCAGTGTATTTCAAAGATAGATGATAGACAGACAGACAGAAAAATTAGCTAAAATTCTCAGATAAAGAATTCTCAGAAATAAGATTTGTATTTTGCATTTTCAAGCCCACCTACACAAATCATATATCAAAACATTCAGCTATCCCTGCTGCCACTAAACATGTCCACGGCTAAGCCATAGTCCTGATAGTTTTCACAATATGACCATTTGTTTGCAACTCATGCTGTCCATTGACATTCATTGAAACTCCACTCCAGCCAGCTTAAAAATGAAGGGCAATTTCTAAACTGCGACTGTGCCTTCATTTGAAATACTTCAGAGACATATTATGCATCATGATGTAGGTCTGGGTCTTGTGATTCTCACAATATAAAGTTCTTCGCTGTAGGATGTATAGTTTGTAAAATACGACCGTTTGAAGATGGCAACCGCCAAAATACTCTGACCTGTGCCAGGCTGAAGCAGCAAGTGATGTCATAGACAGGGCCTTTTGTACACCTGCTAATGTTTTTATAATTGTATGTTTTAATGTAACTGTGAAGCACTTTTGGCAACAACGTTGCAATTAAATGTGCTATATAAATAAATAATAAGTTACTCCGCCCACTTCAGTTGTAGACTACTGGTGGAGGCAAGAACACTTCACACAATTTCCCCAGAAATTTTAGCTTTTCTAGTTGTAATGATATAATCAGTGTTATTCACTTCATCTGTAAGTGGTTTTACTGTTGTGGCTGATCAGTGTATAAGTCAACTCAATCCTACCAGAGAGTCAAAAACAATGTCACCAAACCTACTCTGAGGGTTGCAGTTGCAGGCACCACAAGTCACAGCCAGGTGAAGTGAAATCACTCCAATTAAAATTTAAATTTTATTATTAAACCATAAAACATGTTACGAACAAAATTAAAGCAGAACTGTGGGATCCTCCATAGATAAAGCAAAATAATAAATAAATATTGAGACAAAGTAGTGATAATTTGTATCAATATATCTTTTGACTGGGTTGGAATTTCAGTGAAAATCCAACACAGTCAATATGAGTATTTCATAAAGATTTTATCTTTATAACATACTTATTTTGAAAGGCGTGGGGGGATGGGGAAGGGTCGCTTTAAGAATTTGTTGACCACAAATGGTGTTAGCAACTTAAGACTTACAGCACATAATTTAAAAAAAATAATTATATCTGTAGATATCATGTTTTAACAAATAAAACAGACTGAAGTCTTACTGATGGACATGATCCAAAGAGCCCAGGAGATCCAATTCCTTCTACAAGATGTGGTGAGCATAGGTATTTAAAAAAGAGCAGAAACTAATGGTAATACAACTCCATCATGAATTCCATAGTGACTTAATAACATCACTTGGGCTTTAAAGGTGGCATACCAATTCTCTAAGGTAAATTTGTCATATCAGAAACATGTTTGGATTGCAGTGAGCTACTTCAGATCTCTCATTGTGTCTTCTGAGTTGTACTTTACTTAAACATTCTTAAACATGGCATAAGATTTTAATAATGCTATGGCATGCTTAAAAAAAATAGTAGGTAATGATCCACTCTCCCATTCTGCCCTGAGAAGAGCAAATAATTCTCACACATCCAGTCTGTAGCATCATTGACTGTCCTTCACTGTGGACAAAAAAACAGTGCTCCATTAACTTCTCCAAACTGCTTCTACAAATTAAAAACTCAGTTAGACAGAGCAGAGCCACTACAATGCAAGGCTTTTGGGCTCAAACTGGCACTACTATGGCTTAGAGTTTCTGTCACTAAATGGAATCAGAACTGACATTAGCTGCCCTATTATTGTCCAATCCTCATGCCACAGTGGGAAGTCAATTCCAATGGATTGGTGACATATAGCCTATGGATTGCCCTCTGATGTTCCAAAATTCTTTCCACCATGTTGAACTTCCATCATGTGCTGACATTCTGTCATAGACTGTGTGTGTGAAGCTCTCTTTTTTTCTTGCTCCTGTCTCAAGAGTTGGCTAGCCCTCACATTACAGGGAAAATCTTTAGCAATCCATCTGCAATACTTAAGTATGATTTGCAGTAAGGTTGGACCTCCTCCACTACCATCACTTTATCCAGGCACTGTGAGCTACCAACAGTGAACTGTCAAGGAAAGAAAGTCAGGGACATGAAATGGCAAGCCCCATTTTCCCCCTTCTCAAAAATCTGAAGGAAAGAGTGCTCAAAATTAATCAGTGATGAAAACAGATTATTTGAAAGCTATAATATTTTAATATAAATGTACTACTGTCTTGGTATCATACTGATATAATTATTTTCACATTCTGCTAGCATTTTAATGAAGTTACAAATACAATCCAGTTTCTAACTAATACCCATAAGCAGGATATTAGACTATTTTAACATTTTTGTCACACCTTCTATAGGTGACAAAATGGTATTTCCTCTTTTATGCTTATATTTAAAAATGTGTCTGAATACTGCTAGAAAAAAAGAAAACATATAATCTTGTATAACAAACATTAAATCCATTCAATATTTCTGTTTAAAAAAAAGGTTGAATAAAGAAAAAATAAAGTTTAATAATTTACATCATTTTAATTTTCATCAAGCTATACACAAACTTGCAATAGTATCCTAAACATGTGTATTAGCTGTGTGTACGAACTATAGATGTTATAGTTGTTTCAAATAAATAATACGCTATTATTATTTTTTTTGGACTAAATTATTAAAGTGTTTATACTATTTGTATTTAATGATTTAATGTTTAATTATTTTAATTTCTGAATTAATTATGCTATATGTTCTAAAGCTCTATGCAACTTACCCCAATATTGCGCCTAACTAACCGTACCACAATAACACTGAATTTAAAATAAAATACATTTGATAAAACTAGAATTGATCAAAGCTTTTGGTATGTCATGTTCTATATATATATTTAGATATTATTATATATTTTATATTTATATATATGTTTTATATATATATATTTATTTAAAAAATATACATATATAATTTATTTATTTTAAATGTTTTATCTTTTTTTTTAAATCACATTTTAAATGATAAATGTGAATACTATATTATTAGAGTATCATTATTGATTTGTTGATTAGTATTCTCTGAAACATTCCATATAGAGAACTATGCCACAACTGTCTCCATGTGGCATTGTTCTTTAGCATCTGTTGGCACAATGGCATGAGTTTGGCAGCTTCTACATCCATTGCGGGTTTCTTGAAGACCTGCCTACCAATGTAACCTCTTTTTGGCTGATTAAAGTTAATGTAATTTTAATTAAAAACCACAGTGTCAAAGGGTTTAGCTGCTTGAGAAATGAGGACAGATTGTGGCTCAGTGTCGGCGGTCACATGAAAAAAGGAAATACAAACTGACAGTGCTGTGCAAAAGGGCACAGAAAATCACAAACACATCTACTTATTATGATTTCCACCACTTATCATATATTGTGTTTTATTTTATTAAATGATTATAAAAATGTAATGCATTTATTTAATGATATTCTAAATATAGCTGTATACTGAAATAGCAAAATACACAGTGTATTTTGAAATGTTTTGACATCCCACTTAGAAATAGTTAAGCAATATTAATACTCAGCATTTTTTAAGACTGCATTTATGTGTATTATAAATAAGTGCCTAAGGGGAAAGACAATGAGACATATGTATTAAGACTGCCAATTCAAATTCTATTTGAACTCTAGATCTATGTGCAGGGCTAAATAACAAATTAACTATGAATATTTAAAAATTATATTACCCCATTGTTTGTTATTATTTGCAATATAGTGAATTGGGCACAGTTTACTCTTTGGTCATACGACCATTTGTCAGGCTAGATTTTAAGCGTCAGGGCAAATGACCTAGGGGCCAGTCATAATGAGATGAGTGTCAATAATAGGTATTGTTTACTTTTTTTAATTCTGTGTATCTCCTTTTCTGTCCTATGATTTTGGTAATGCAACGATTATTTTAAACAACAGACTGCAATGCGACAAAAAAAAAATAATAATCCACTTTAAAGGGAAACTCAAAGTACCATAACCACTACCACTTTTATGAATAGTTTGTCATTTATTTTACTGTGTTGGGTGGCCATAGTTATATTGGTCTGAGTTACAATGATAAAATAGAAGCTTAAACGTTTGCATTATCGCACCAAATATACCAGATATAGCAGAGTATATTCATTGGCTGAGAGCCATCAGGCTGAGAAGGGTTTGAAGCATGAATAATCTTCTGTACCCACAGCTGATGTTTGAAGAATCCATCTAATGTTTAGTTTAAAATTTAAAAAGTGTTAACAGTAATACCAAGATAAATCAGCCTGAATATGGTGATTAAAAACCAAAGAACAGGTAGTAATACAAATTCATAATTCATTGGTCTGGAATTATTTTGAGCTTTTCATACCTAATAGATTAGTTTGGATATATTTTGAGTTTTGAGCTGTATAGTAATGCATATCATTGTCGACATCACATCACATGCATTGGTCTTTGTTATGTAATTCCCAATATCTGGCCTACATCATAAAGAGCCAGCCACAATAGCAGGACAGAAGTAGCTGTTTGAATTTGACTGAAGCTAAATGGGACTTTAATTTAAACAATAAACACGTGTACAAAGAAAATATGATTTAACAGTTAGACTATTGAGGTTGGTTTAAAATATTTTCAAAATTACTTCTAAATGTGAGATGATGGACCCATAGAAAGAATTAAAGATATTTATGTAACATACAGATACTAGAGTGCAGATACTAGAATTAGGCAAGGTAAATAAAAACCTATTCTATTTTCTATATTTACACTTAGCTATATTTATACTTAGCAGTAGAAATGTGGCCAAAAGTTTAGAGGACTGGCTATCTGGTGGTGGATCATATTTCTTATTTGGGCCCAGGTGATTTGGCATCTACAATCCACTGTAATGGTGGGTCGGTCACTATATTGGTTCTAGGGAGTGTGGAGGCAAGGAAATTATTTACTCTATCGTAAAACATTGGTAGATTAGGGCGTTTATGGATAACCTTGTTAACATCAAATATTATAGCTCATGTAAAGGGGGTCATTCTGTACTGATAAGATATAGCTGAGCACAATTTAACAATTTAATGAATATATCATACCATGAAACTTGACTGTACAATAAGACTCAAAATCTACCATATGACACCCAATATGTCATCTTGCAAATGGTGTGCATTTATAGGGTAATTTGAACAATCAAGCTGCTACAAAGTCCCATATTAGACATAGGTCCATCAAATCCATTTTTCAAAATTCTAACTGTAAGATCTGAAATGGCCACGTCTTATATGGCACTGTAACTTCACAAGATAGTTGCAATGGTATACATGATCCTCTCAGTCAATCAGTGACTCTCCATTCAGAAAACTGACTTGCAAAAGGTACCTTTTTTTGCAAGCCAGTATTCTGAATGGAGAGTCACTGATTGGCTTAGAGCTTTAGCTGACCAATCTTAGCTAATCAGCGTGGCCCCATTCAGATTTTCATTCACTAGTTTAGTAAGTAACTATATGAGATGTGTGCTTGTTTAATAGATAGACTCTTCCACATCACCAGGTCCTTTAATAATTTAAATAGCAGTCAAAACTGTGTAGTCATTCATTACAGGTAATCAAGCTCCTATCAGTGTAGTGAAAAATATATACATAATATTTATGTTATTTATATATTTTGCAGTACACTGATTAGACCATTTTCACACCCTTTTGGTTTGTCTGATTCTTTTCCAAATCTATCTTCATTAACAAAATTTGGGAGAAATTCTTCCGTCCAAAAAGTGGTTCGACTGGAACTAATTTTTTCATAATGCACAAATCTATTGGTGTCTGTATGCGCAGCGTTTCAGTATTAAATGCTGCACATACAATAGAAATGCACATTAGGGAGAGTTCCGTGGCTGGCTAGTGTATGCTTTGTACAAATTGGGCAAATGTTGTCAGAATTCATAGCATGCTGGCAACAGATGACCAATCCAGGCCTAGCTTTCACTCCCTGTGATGCCCCAGGCCTCCAGGACATCCCTCTCCTCTCCAGCAAAGAGGGCGTGACATCAATGTAGAAGGATTGGGCTCCAAGGAGATCTTGACCTAGGCGTGGATATTCATCACAGGTACGTTTTTGCTTTATTTCTCCTTGGGTAAAACAGTGTTTTATAAACAGCTTATGTTGCAAATTTGCCTATATCTACCAGTTTGGTTTGCTTTTCTTCCATTTGGCTGTTTAGAGTAAAAACAATAATATGTTCCCCAAACTTGTGACTATTTTCCAAGCATAACAGAATTCTTAGACAGATCATTAGTAGCTAGGAATGATAGTGGTTGCAGTTTTGTACTTATCAATGTCCGTCAAAACATGCTGTCAACTGCCTTCAGCGACGTACCTCGCTACATATTTTATTTTACTTCTCTCCAACTTTTGTAGATATTTTATGTAGGAGCAGGCTTTTACAATTACCATGGGAGAATGTTTCCCCAAAGCCTTTTATGTATTTTCTCCATAAAACATAGCATTTATCTTAAATGTGCCCTACTAAAAATATTAAGCATGCTTCTTCTACATGTTTGAGTTGTGATGCAGTAGGCAACTGCCTGAAGGGTAATTAGCATAAACTCGAAAATCCTATTTTGCATTAACATGCCTATTCATTTAAAAGTTCTAAATGTACCATCATAATGTCTTTATTTGAATGGAGCATAATGAACAACAAAGGCCTTCTACATTAGATTGTTAGCTCTTGCTGATAGTGCCAAATTTTTTTCTTGTCTAATGTCATATTTATTTGTATGTGTTGTCTATCTATTCTGCAAAGTGTTATAATATCCATGTACATTCTAAACAAAGATATGTCATTGACATTATATGAATATTTGGAAATAGTATATAAAAATCCCCATAAACTACCTACATCTACATAAACCTGGATTAATTGGGCAGTTTACAAGGTTTTTCACTAAAGTGAGAATTCAGGGGTGTGTGGCTTGGAGGGAGCAGAGAGCGGTCGCATACTCACGGAGCTCCAGCACTATCTCGGCTTATACAGGCAAAATACTGCCTACAACTCAGCAATCCAACCTTGCAACACACCCTGATACCGGTGAAACCATGAGGAAGCACTCCAAAAAGCCCAAAATGATGTTGGGTGAGAAAAATCGGAGCATCAGGGAACTTTTCCCACCTGGCCTAAATCCAAGATGGCGCTGCTGCCCGACATTTTCTGCTCCTCCTCTAAGGACCTACTGGATGCCCCTGACCCTATACCAGAGGCATCATTGCCGACACCTAACCTGCATACAGAGAACCGGGGTGCGCCGTCCACCAGAGGTGACATTATGGACCTCATGGTCAATGTCAGGGCCTTCTTTCGTGCAGGCCTGGCGGTGGTCCAGGAGGAAGTGGTAGCAGTCACAGATAGGGTCAAGGCGACGGTGGAAGACATAGCCACCCTCTCACAACGCCAATCTAGCTCACAAATGGCAATGCAAGTGACGCTGGATGCGCTTGACGATGCCCGCTGGCGCAATAAATAATCTAAAAGTTAGGGGCGTAGCATGTCAGGTCCCCTGCTGCTGTCTCGCCATGGGCGGCGGCTTCCCTTTGCTCCTCACCGCGAGCGGCTGTCTTGGTCCCCGCCAGTAGCATTTTAAATAGCCAGCGTACTTAAATAGGTGCCCGAGCCAGTCACCTGACTCAGTGCGAAAATTTGATGTCACAGGCCATACTGAAAAGAAGAAACACCTCACACGTATTATAATGAACACTAATTGGAGACAAGCCAATCAGAGACAACCTAAGCATATATAAACGAACCCTCCCATTGCCTCAGTGCCCTGTTGTGGTCTTTATTAGCCTAATAGCGCGTTATACTGTGTCTGGATTATTTGGTTACCGAACTTGTCTTGTCTTATGTTTACTCTGTCTTCTCTGATCCTTGACCTCGGCTTCTCTCCTCATACTCCGTCTCTCTGTTTTCCCTGACCTCGGCTTGTACTCTGACTACTATTCTATCTCTTTGCATAGCCCGGCCATTCTAAGGATGGGTATTGTAATTCTGTGTGTCTGTGACCTGTCTGAGTGTTTTGGTTCCCCTGACAACTGTGACATAGTGGAGTCCTTTACAATTGGTGAATTACCACACTTCTTCAAGCACCTCTTTTCGGCCCTGCTGCACCAACGGCACACTAAACACACTCCCACCAACAGTGTACATCGACTCCCTAAGTCCCCAAGGGCACCGGTCGCAGCTCCCAGAGACGTACTGCTCCACTTTCTAACGTTTCAGTATAAGCAGGCGATGCAAGAAGCACTCAAATCTAACACCCCACTCGAATTTGAGGGAATGCAACTTACCTTCCTGCAGGACCTCTGCAGGGCCACATTGGAGTGAAGGTGCTCCATTCAAGGAGTCACAAAAGCATTCAGTGAAGCAAGAATTACCTACAGATGGGGACCATCGCCACCAAAGACGGTGCTACATACCGGCTTACAACCTCAGAGGCTTCCACCTTATTCCTCACGGAGCTGGGCCTCATACAGTACCAGACTCCTACGCCTGCTACACGCAACAACTGGGATGTGCAGAACATCGCATCCTTTGTACCTCGCCCAAGAGTGGACACTGGCTGAAGCACTTGTTCCAGTGGGGATCCATTTCTTCTGACTAAGTGCAGTCCCATGGACTCCATATTTACCTACAAGTTCTAGTTGACTTCTATAAGCATGCTTGCACTACCCCCTCCCTCCCCCAGGGCATCCAGGGGACACTGGGCACTTTTTTTAAAATTCATAAGTATATATTTTATGTCTTCTGTCCCATTGAGCACTAATAGCATGTCCATCCCATCCCCCTTTTTATTACTAAAACCCTGATAGATAAAGATAAAACTTACCTTTAATACAGCTCTACGAGACACATTTGACTGTACCAATGTCCAGGCTCAGAACGCATTTGTGTTCTCTAAACCGGAAAGGGGAGGGAAGGATGGTGGAAGTGGGGATTGGAAAGAAGGAGGGAGGTTTATTAAAAAAAAATAAAAAAAAATAGAAACTCACTACTTCTGTCATCAGCATGCAGTACACACTCACAGCAGCCTTATTTTTTGTACAGATTTAACTGAGTTCCTGGCTGCCAAAGTCATGTGTGTTGAGGGTGTAAATAACCCTGGAACAAAAGTGCATATATCTCTGCATTTGCCCTCCTCTCTGATCAGTTCTAAAAGCAGATGCGGTAGTGGAGGTTGGAGTAACCCTTTAAGATTAACATAGTTTAACCTGGAAAAATTCTCAGCTATGCTTTCAGTTCACCCACTTTGGCCTTAAATTTGAAATTCACTTTGAATTCACTTTAAATTCTCACTTTAGTAAATAACCCTATTAATTATCATTTTTGCAACTAAATTCCAAATAAATTCAACCCAGTCCAATCCTGAGTACATACATGTGACGGAGCTCATTGATGCCCAACCACTTGACTGGGGTCTCTCAAGAACTCTTCCACACGACCTGCACAGTCTGTGATTAGCTACTGCCTTTACAAAGGCACCTATTGCTCTCAAGCCCAACTCTATTTTTAACTTGACTGGAGATCCAGGGTCCAAGCAACAGCCAACAGGTTTGAAGACTCTGTTACTGGGATCCCTGAATAAATCAACCAAGACACACAGTTCCAATATGAAGTAACACACAATACTTTATTTTGAATAAGGCTAGCCTTTGCCAACTTGTCCTTAAGCATGTTGTGAAAAACATAAAAATATAAACAAACATACATAACTTGAAAAACAAACATCCTAACAGGGCATCAAATATACACTGCTCAAAAAAAATAAAGGGAACACGAAAATAACACATCTTAGGTCTGAATGAATTAAATATTCTACTGACATACTTTGTTCTTTACATAGTTGAATGTGCTGACAACAAAATCACACAAAAATTTAAAAATGGAAATCAAATTTTTCAACCCATGGAGGTCTGGATTTGGAGTCACACTCAAAATTAAAGTGGAAAAACACACTACAGGCTGATCCAACTTTGATGTAATGTCCTTAAAACAAGTCAAAATGAGTCTCAGTGGCCTTCACGTGCCTGTATGACCTCCCTACAATGCCTGTGCATGCTCCTGATGAGGTGGCGGACGGTCTCCTGAGGGATCTCCTCTCAGACCTGGACTAAAGCATCTGCCAACTCCTGGACAGTCTGTGGTGCAACGTGACGTTGGTGGATGGAGCGAGACATGATGTTCCAGATGTGCTCAATTGGATTCAGGTCTGGGGAACGGGTGGGCCAGTCCATAGCATCAATGCCTTTGTCTTGCAGGAACTGCTGACACACTCCAGCCACATGAGGTCTAGCATTGTCTTGCATTAGGAGGACCCAAGGGCCAACCGCACCAGCATATGGTCTCACAAGGGGTCTGAGGATCTCATCTCGGTACCTAATGGCAGTCAGGCTACCTCTGGCGAACACATGGAGGGCTGTGCGGCCCCCCAAATAAATGCCACCCCACACCATTACTGACCCACTGCCAAACCGGTCATGCTGGAGGATGTTGCAGGCAGCTGAACATTCTCCACTGCGTCTCCAGACTCTGTCACGTCTGTCACATGTGCTCAGTGTGAACCTGCTTTCATCTGTGAAGAGCACAGGGTGCCAGTGGAGAATTTGCCAATCTTGGTGTTCTCTGGCAAATGCCAAATGTCCTGCACGATGTTGGGCTGTAAGCAGAACCCCCACCTGTGGACGTCGGGCCCTCATACCACCCTCATGGAGTCTGTTTATGACCGTTTGAGCAGACACATGCACATTTGTGGCCTGCTGGAGGTAATTTTGCAGGGCTCTGGTAGTGCTCCTCCTGTTCCTCCTTGCACAAAGGCGGAAGTAGCGTTCCTGCTGCTGGGTTGTTGCCCTCCTACGGCCTCCTCCACATCTCCTGATGTACTGGCCTGTCTCCTGGTAGTGCCTCCATGCTCTAGACACTACGCTGACAGACACAGCAAACCTTCTTGCCACAGCTCGCATTGATGTGCCATCCTGGATGAGCTGCACTACCTTAACCACTTGTGTGGGTTGTAGACTCCATCTCATGCTACCACTAGAGTGAAAGCACCGCCAGCATTCAAAAGTGACCAAAACAACAGCCAGGAAGCATAGGAACTGAGAAGTGGTCTGTGTGTCTTGCTAATTGCCTATAATTTCCACCTGTTGTCTATCCCATTTGCACAACAGCATGTGAAATTGATTGTCACTCAGTGTTGCTTCCTAAGTGGACAGTTTGATTTCACAGAAGTGTGATTGACTTGGAGTTACATTGTGTTGTTTAAGTGTTCCCTTTATTTTTTTGAGCAGTGTATAATACAATCACAATTTTTCAAACTATAGAAATACACAGATGTACCAATGCAACAATGCAGTCTTTTGCACCTTCCTAATTTGCATATTGTAATTATACACATTAATGCATTTTCCAGTTTCACCAACAAAGGGCAATGGAAAGTCATAACACGCCTGTAAGAATCCTCTTTTAAAACATGTATATCCCAATCATGCAAACCTAAACCAGGGAGAAAAGAAGTCCGAATGATCCCAGTGTACTTGTATTCCAAAAACAAAACCCCTTTCCAGGCAAGGGCCCATAGTCGTGAGAAGGAGGCTGCCCTGCAGGTAACAGAGGATTCCATTACAATATAAACTTTGGGGACTAAATCTAGTTTAAAATGAAGTGCAATTTTAGTGTAAATATAAGATGCTCTTGTGTGTGTGTGTGTGTGTGTGTGTGTATGTATTGGGGAAACTCGGTCATGGTGGGCATAGGCCGAGCCCAACAAAAAGGATCAAAGTATCTCCCTGGTTGGCCCATGCAGGGCTGTTGCTACAGCATTGCTGGCAAAAAGAGGGTGCTCTATGGATGTTCTGAAGGTCAAAGCTCTCCCTCACTGGCCATTTGTTATGGTATATTAGGATCCTAAGCAAGATAAAAGGCAAGAATCGTAACATATGCAAACTGAGGAGAGATAGTAAGGCGTATTACCGGATCTTAGTGAGGCAGGGCTTTATGCAAAGCAAGAACTAGGAAGTAACAGAACTAATATTAAAAGTTTATTCAAACCAGGAGGAGAACAATAAAATCAATAGTTATAATATGCAATGGTATGGAATAACTGGAACTCAAGGTCACAAACAAGCCGGGTCTTTTAGGAATACAGGAAGGGGAAAATATCAGAGTCAAACATAGCCTGGTCTAGCTCACAGGCTGGAACAAGTTAATCATTGCCAAAACGTAGCAGGGGTCTGGTTCACAAAACAGGAACAAGGCAATTGTGGTCCAAAGTAGCCATGGTCTGGAAATATTCAATAAATGGTAAAAATCAATATCAGATAGCCAAATGATACTTTTTAAGTATTCTGAGATGTGAGAGGGCACTCAACCAAAGAAAGCCAAATATATATAGGCACAAGCCTGTACGTCAATTTAGCATCATTAATGCACGCGCAGAGAGTCCAGGATGATGAAAACCAATTAATGGTTAGT